GCAGTACCCCTCAGATCTTTGCGATTTACACCTTTGAATGACCCACATTAACTGTTATGGATAGGCGTGTCTGTTACCACTAGACGCACGACTTATTTGTCTCGTCACATGGTTTCATAAAACGGGAAAGAATTGACAGGGTTCAGGTTAAAATGAACGTGCGTTAGTCACTTTGCTATTCTTTTAGACACAAACAGCCTTTTCCGTTTAATGAATTGTGCCTTTGTCGTCTATTGTTGAATTGTCTAGAGGAAATAATATTCTATTATTATTATTTTTTTTATTATAAATATCTACGATATCCGTTGCTTTACTCTTCAATACAATAAAAATAATCTAAAAATTCAAAGATTCATAAAACAAGCATGCCAACTCAGTCGTATGACTTGGCTACAGAGGACTACGAAACTCATTGTCTTCGCTCATATTCTGCCACAGCTAAATATACAATTAAAAAACACCAAGAATAATACATACAGCAAGGAGCAGTCCCATATCGACTATCCCACTATAAACAATGCAAGCTATCCGGCACAGACTTCATCCGGTTCTTAAAAGGCCTTGCATTGCCTAGTGGGTGCACGTACAGCACCCTCCCTAGTTTCCAGATAGGTACCGGAGCTGGTAGGCGCGCTCACTATACATATACATGTGATTTGGAATTAGTTGAGGCGAAGCTGCAGAATCTTGAACACCGCCGTAAATTTGCCTGCTTATTGATATTCTAAAGGATATATCACGGAGAGTGCGATGGAATTACGTAATTTGATTCTGCCTTCCCCTTTCATCATTATCATCGGAGGACTATACGTGGGCTGTGATTCCATCCCTATGTTGTTGATATTCCCAGGATTCGCACGATGCGTTTCGCTTCCACATTTATATGGCGAGCGGCTAGAGAATGGAATTCCCTGCCTGCGGACTTATTCCCCGAACGCTATAACTTGGACCTTTTCAAAGCGAGAGTGAATAGGCATTATTTAGGTGTGCATGCTATATCGTTGACCTCATCATCAATTTTTTCGTCAAAGTTTTATTTTAAATAAAAAAATTATAAAAAAAAATCTTCCCGTTGCGCATTGCACAACTAACGGCTGCCACCATTACGCCATTGACTATGAAGTCCACTACCAAATCTCCTCTTTGGACACATAAGGAACTGCTTGTCAAATACACGTTTATATTTTCATCTAAATGTTGACGTTTACGACGCCCCTATGCAAGATGAGGCAGTTCATGACATGGGGTTTTATTTATTTAGGACTAGGACAATCACGCACTTAGGCTGCTAACAGATGGACTGCATCTGCATGTTCACAGTTAATGCGTGCAGTCGAGATTTCAACTACAAGCGTCGTCGACTTTAGTGTGTGGCTTTAGTTGATGTGAACTACTATACTTCGAGAATCTAAAAGTAGAAATTGTCGTTCTTAAGAGGATTTTTTGTGTCTGGAACAACTTAATTTTTTTCAGTAACATCAATTGATTTTTTCAGTACAAGGTAAGGATTTACTTGAGGGTTAAATCAACATAATGATGAAGTAAAAACACGACGGGTAATTTTTTCTTTATTTCACATTTGCACAATTCTTAAAATTATGTTTTTTTTCTGGAATGACACTTTTGTTTACATTTTTGGTCGCAAGTTCCACGGCAAATTTTGGACGTGAGTTTACGTCATACGTTTATTTCCTTAATCATAAGTTTAGTCAGCATTTGGACCTATAAATATTCTGAATACAGTGACAAGCTACAAGTAACATCTGTGCTTCCATTTCGACATCAATAAATGTACTGAGCTCCTGAGTTGGCGTGCGGCAATAACTACTTGCAGTCAGTCGGTTTCGGCTGCATGCAATTGTAATGTCAACTACGCACACACAGTCCGTCTGGTTACAGCCTAAATACATTTAACACATTTGAGATTAGACAATGCAAATGGACTAACCTGCTGAAAAATAAAACTGTAGCCTCATTTAAAGTTTTAGTTGCCACAAGCAACTTTTTTTTTGTTAAACAACAAGTTAGCCATCTATTCAGTTAGTCACATATTTATATATAACACTTTATATAGTGTAATATAGTATATAATTATATATAACACTTTATATAGTGTAATATAATATTATTAACATATAATATAGTGTAATATAGTATAAGGTAGATTATGTAAATACGGAAGATAATGATATACTTAAAGATAGGAAGAAATATTATGTTAATTCTAGGTGTTAAGATTTTTAGTACCATTATGTTAACAGTTTAGTTAAGTTATCGCTAGACGGCGTTAAACCTTCTATGCAGCTTTCTTAAACGCGCTATTAAGTTGTTCACGGAAATTGTATTTAACGCCATCTAGCGGCATCTTACCTAAACTAAATATGTAATGTTAATAGAAGTGTTTAACACCATTAAAGACGTTAACAAATACGTTGTGTTTCTAAGGTGCTGCAATATTTATTTTGGTCGAATATCATGATGTTTTTAATACCATATTATTATTATTTTTTTTTGTGAAAATACTCCACTAGTTTGGTGTCATTATTAATACAAAGATCCAGGTCGTACAAACTCGAAGAAAAATTCGTTCGATCGGGCTGGATTCGAACTTGCGATTGTTTGCCAGACCGAAGAATTTCGCTATGTGCTTGTTGTCGATCTTTGTTTTGCCGTAGCGCCACCTGTGAGACACTTTTGAAAGTTTTTTTTTTAATAGAAGGTGCTATCCGACAAAAGTTCTTTTATATTATCGATAAATCAGGAAATATTTACGGTAAAAACCCAGCTCATGAAGGTGAAACCTAACAAACTAGGTTTTTAACCGACGTCTCCAATTCTAAATTTAAAAGTTCGTTTCCAATTTTGGTTTAACGATAATTGAACTCGATATTTATATAGGGGAACGTGGATTTAAAGGTGGGGAAAGATCGACCTTAAGAGGCCAGTGCATAAGTGCCATGAATAAGCGTGTATGAAGGGAAGAATTGATGCGAGTGTAGGGAACAAATGAGGTTAGATCGGGGGTGAGCGGGGTCTTTATTTTCTGACTACTCTAGTGTGTGTAATGATTGGATTTCTTGTGATATCAATAAGACGCATATTTCAACTTCTTTGGTACTGTTTTAGACTCTATGCAAACTTCGCACGTCTAAAAATGCATTAATTTTAAAATGCACATTTAGTTACATTTGAGTGTACGTCAGTGTACCATAAACCGCATACTTTAGCAACGTGTTAATTGTGCTCATGAACCACGCTCTTTGGTATTTCGTCTGCCTATTATAATAATAATAATAAATAATAATAATAACGCATACACTCAACATAGCCCTGCACTAAGGAAACCCTGTGTCGCTGGTGCCATGGACACACACACAAAGACAACCACAAATTACACACAAACTAACGATAGAAATAAATGTAGTCCATACAAATATTTCTCCCGGCCCGGGAATCGAACCTGGGACCTCTGCGTGGCAATCTGGCATGGTAACCATTCGGCCACGGAGGGAGTTAATTATGTTTATATGCTACTTATAAGCGGAGAGACACAGATTGGAACATTCCTCTCTTTGAAATTTAGAAATGATTAATTAATTTATTAAAAAAAAGATTAAGATTACAAATATGTAGGCATATGTTGAAAAGTCCCATGTGCCTGTGATTTCATCAGCATCCTTTCCCTTCAAAACCAGCATTACTCAATTCTCACATTACTGCTTGGCGGCAGAAATAGGTAAGGCAGTACTTCCCTGGACGAACTCTTTCACAAGGAGCTCTACTGCTACAAAAAACCTAGAAATTCGATGAGTACTCGTATTTAATTAAAGAAATTTAAACTATTAGAACTTAAGAGAAATTATAATATATTTGCAAAATCGAGATTCTTAAAGATTTTATTAAAAATAAAACGTTCAAAAAATCATAACAAAATAGGTACATACTTTTTTTACAGTTTTAAATTTTTCTTCTACACTGCCATAGTAAAATGATTGCTACATCAAAAATAAAGAAAAAAGTACAATATAATGATTCTTGAATTTCATAGGGAGGTATTAACCACTCTATGTGTATTATTTACTTGAAGTTTAGATAATTATACTGTCTATCCTGAACTCTCTGGACTCTTATAATATGCACCTCGTTAGTTTTACGATCAATCTTTTTCATAGTGCTACGTAATTCTAAACCTAATTGTACATTCAACACCACATCAAGTACACTTTTTTTCGAATATTGCCTGCAGTTCAACGGAACAAGATCCGTCAATATGTAGCTTGATGTGCTGCCATCTGTACCTATTAAAAATGTCCCATAAGTTTGAAAATAAGTACACAATTTCAAGGAAATCTACAAAAGAGCCAAACAGAAAAACGCGCACCACATCTTGCAGTTTTAATAAAGAGAACAGTATAGGTCAATGATAGTATACTAAATTTTTAACGTAAAAGAGAAAAAAATACATATTTCATACCTTTAATACATCCAATTAAAGTTAGAAAGTACTAAAATTAGAAGAAGTCTCCTTGACCCATCCAATTGCAATTACAAAATTAACTGATCAGCAACAACGCACAACTAGAATAAGTAAGCCACCAACATTAACATCACTAGTATAAGTAAGCCACCAAGCTTGAATATCATTAGAATAAGTAACTAAGCTACGACCACGGTCACCACTAAGTACAGATGCTTGAATTTTGATATTAAATTCCGTTATTGTTTTAAAGTGATTATTTAACAACACGTTAAATAACTCATAATCCTTTAGTGATATATAAACATAATGTAAAAAGTGACAAATTTACTAATAAGTGCTAAAAAGTGCCTTAATTTAATTCCGACTACACGGCGCCTTAACAAAGATAGTAGTGGACTATTCCAAAATACGAAATCACCGTACTAAATCACAAACGAACTATGCGAAACTTATTCGACCAGTTGAACGATATGAAATAACAACTAATCAAGATGATGAAGTTTAAATCCTTGTTCCGTAGAGGGCCAAGTCAAGGGAAACAGGAAGGTACCCTCAAAGGAGCTCCTTCTGTCAGCAGCCTCGATTCCAAACATCACAAAGTCGCACCAGCTAGAGATAAGAGCCTGAAAATCTTTGGGTCCAAAGAGAAATTGCATAAGCCACATAAGAAAAAAGATTTGGGGAATAATAATGCTGTGCTAGAAGACCCTGAGTTCAGAGAAGGGGAATATGAAGACGCGAGACAGGATTTTGGGAGTGCTGAGGAGTTGGGGTCGGTAGATGAGAGGGGGTCGCAGGACTTTGTCAGTTTGCCGGTCACTTTGAATGCCGAACACATGCCGGGGTTCCAGGAGGTTGACCTCAGACCCAGAATACCATCTGAGGTGAGTTATTAAACTTTATAAATATGGATCTTTAAAGATTTTTGTAATGCCAATGAGTGCAAGGAGCACTTTTTAATATTGTTTCATTTGCAATTATAATATTTAAGCCATTTTACATAAGGTTGACTTTTGTTACATATGTTGATTATTCAGAAAGTATACCTTGATGAAATTGACCACTTTCTTTAGCTACATATTTTTGCAGTTTTGATTTTCATTTCATTTTAATATTGACTGTCTTTTTGTAGATATTGTTTTTTTATGTTCACTTTGTTGACTTTGCTTTCATTATTCTCTGCGTTAAGAAGTGCGTTTCACTGATATTTCAACTCCAGCGTGACCATGGTAGAAACGACACAATCACGACTTTTTTAGTGTAATCAGGGGGTCTACTCTGGATCTCCGTCCGACATCCGTCCGAAACAATTACTGTCAAACAAGCAATACTTGAGCAAATGAAAAGACGCGTGATGCGAATGAAGCTTCATACTTGATACTTGATAATTTTGTCGAATATTACTTATTTGACAGTAATTGTTTCGGACGGATGTCGGACGGAGATCGAGACCCCCAGATCTTAAGCTAGGTGTTGTGGTTCTCGAGATTGAGAAATGGTGCCGCTGGAATAAGCTAATTCCAGCGTGAACAGTAAAACACCCTTATAATGGCGGTCCGACTAAATGTAGATTTTTTGCGACTAGAACCGACTAAATAGCGATTTTTTTTCTAGCTAGTCAAATTTCAAAACTTGGCCATGGTCACGCTGGAATAAGGCACTCGTTTCAACTTGTACGATCGATCATCGTACGAAAATTTGTCTTTACATTGACGAGCATAAAATTTTGCTCGTAATTGAACGTGAGATTCTTTGTTTTGTCTGTTTTCAAATGGACATAGTTACGCACACTAGAACCAACCCACAAAATGTCACTTTCGAGATAATTAGATTTTTGTATAAACAGTGTGAAAAAATAAGTAGGTAAGTTATTTGAGACAAACAACGTGAGTTATGTGTAGCATTGAGAATGATATATATAACGAGAACCATGTTCTAGTTTTCGTAATGAAAACGCTTAAGATCTGCAGTACTTCAGTACATGTGACATGGATCCATTAAGCGTATTTAAAAAAAATATATTTTATGAACTTAAGCAGCATGGTTCTTTTTAGCTATTAAAAAGTAAACTTATTTACGATTGGTAACCTGAAAGACTTTTATTTTCTCCGTTTTGGCTTGGTATATTGCCTGGATCTTTTGTGAGCGGGTAAAGGACACGTCTGGTGTTATGCCTAAATACATAACTCAATTTTACTCGAGGTGTGGGTTGGTTCTCGTTTGCATAACTATGTCCAAATATCAGCACTGTGAATTGAGAAAACACCATGGCTATCGTAGTTGGTCAATGGCATCTGTAGTAACTGATAATAATAATAACACTATGTAACAAATTTTCCTAAAGGTTTCTTGTTCGACAGAATTGGTGTCTGTTTAATTGAGCAGCAAGTGTTTAGGAAAGAGGAACTATACCCCTGAAACTTTGTGTTGGTGGTTCACAGTGGTATTTCCATACCTACATAATAGTTACTGATAGTGTTATGGTTACATAATCTCGCAAATCCTACACATTAGTAGAATTTTGTTTGAAATACTAAAGATTTGAAGTAAACTGTACCTTTTTGTCTTTATTTTAGGAGAATCGCGAGTATGTGATTACCCAGAAACAAAAATCGTATTACATGATGTAATTACACGTTGCATACAATAACTTTACATTACATTACAACTACCTACTTTTGCAGGCATCTCTTGCGTCAGGGGCGCGAGAGATAGAAACTCTACGGCGAGAGCTGGAAACTACTGTGATGGAGCGAGCGCAACTTCAAGCTAAGGTTGAGGAGCTTCTTGAGCGAGCTGGAGAGGCTGACCGATTGCGGTCTGAACTTGAGCGGCTCAAGGTACATACCATGAAACAGTCCATCGTTATATTTCCAAGCAGCAAACTGATAAATAATTCATAGTTGGTTTTACTGAATGGAAATTTGAAAGTGTGCATCTCTAGCTTTATAAATTGACACATCTATAGACGGCTTATCCTTAGTTTTTAAATTGATAAACTTATAGACAGTTCATAGTTGGTTTTATAAATTGAAAAGCTAAAAGACAGCCCATCCCTAGCTTTCAAACTGACAAATTGATAGACTGTATGTAGTTGGTTGTGCAATTGAAAAAGTAAAACAGACAGTCCATTCTTAGCTTTATAAATTATTAAAATGAAAAATTTGACCATTGACTTCTGCTTCTTAACCTAAACATAATATTTCTTATATTATGTTTAGTTATTATATTATACCCAAACTAAATATTTCTTATTCTTATTCTAAATTTTACCACCAATATCATTATCATTTTCTTCAAGGACTTGTCTACAGACATTCAAGTGATTTGAATAATTGGTTGCATTTTTACAGACTATAGAAACCGAGCGTGAAGCGGCATTAGAACGACTAGCCGACGAGAATGGAGCTCTACGTGCGCGACTACGCGGCGTCGCCCATTCGCCGTTGTCGGACAGTGAGAAGAGGCATTTGTTGCTTGCGCCCGCGCCTGCGCCGCATCCCAGGCGCATGCACTCATCGGCACCAGCCTCTATAGCACTGGCTCACAATGTAAGTAACCGCTTTTAATCAAAATTAAAATTACGAATGAAATAATCCGAAATATCACCAATACTGACAAAAAAAAGCTTACTAAGCAGGCTTACTAAGTTTTTAATCTCTTTTCATGCAATAGGATTTATTCATCCTTACTTTTGCTTCGGTTTGGTATCATGGTCTTCTTTATATCACTCAGAATGACTTTTGGCCTTCCGTTGTCGAAAGCGATATTGCGTATAGCTGAATTGAGGAAGAACTTCTCATATAATAGCTTTCAATCTACCTTGTCACTCTGCCCTCGACAACTATAAATTATTGATTTTTATCACACGAGATAAAAACTGAAAACATTGCTACCGCTCCTTGCTACTGCTCTACCTCAAAAGCAGACTAGCTCTATATTCATTACTAAAAGTCGTGTCATCTACAAAAAGGCTTTCATGACCTCGGTCACCGGCTTCTTCCATTTCATTTGGTCTTTGGGAAGTTCGATCTTTCGGTAGTTACTGGAAATATGAATAGTAACTTGGTCTCTGAACATCAGATTGGTGATCACGAGGTTGTTTCTGGTATATCTTTTTTTTATGTTATTAAGTGACGGGACGAACGAGTCGCACGTCTGGTGGTATACCACTCGCCTATCCATAACTTTAAGCTGCTTTGAGCCTTAAATCACTAAGATCTGAGAGGCACTGCGATTGCGCCCGTCACCCCGAGACAAGTTGACAAGTCCTATGTGCATGTAATTTCACCCTTACTCTTCATAATCGAAAGGCCATAATGCTCACATTACTGCTTGGCGGCAGAAATAGGTAAGGTGGCAGTACTTTCCTTTTCATGCATGCCGGGAATATTTAGCACGCCAACCAACCCTTGAACCCTTATCCAATGGGTGTCAAAAACTAGCAGTACTTCACTGAATTGACGAATTCTGTCAAAAGGAGATCTGCTACTACATTTAGTTTGGAACGCGAATTTGTATTTGAATAATGCAGTATTTATTGATATCACACTGTTTTAATTCTGCTATTTATGTCCTTTTCAAGAAAAAGGATCGAAAAAGATTTTTACGGTAAAACTTTTATGACATTCTTTTCGAACACAACTTTTGTATTAACGACGTTTTGAAGACCTACTAAAGATGAGTCCACACTTCCAGGGCGAAGGCGACAATGGTGAAGCGAGCACTCCAGAGTGGGACAAGCACTCGTCATCATCACTCAGCGAGGTATCCGTGGCCTGTCTGCAGGACCGCATCCTGCAGATGGAAGAACACCATTACAGGTAATTTTCTTCTCAAAACCTTCACTCGATTCAATGAAGTCCCTTACTCCCACTGACTTATTAAATTCAAGTCTGCACGCCCAATATAAAAAAAAACCATGTTACACCTAGTTTAGTCTATTGAACTGTATGTGGGTTAGTGTATAATATAATATACCTTCAATATTAAATGTTTTATTGAATGTCATAATATTTCACCACTTTGATATTCAATTAATTACAGTGAATAACGATATCTTTAGCTAGGGCTGGTAGCTGGAAAGGTGTCTGTGACGAAATAGTTTTATAGATTTCTCATAGATGGCGCTACGGCTAAAACGTCGTTAAAAACCAGATACAAAAATCCGACAAAGATGCACATAGAAAAATTCGTAAGGTCCGCTGGTTCGTTCCGTGAGTTAGTTGGCATAGCGTCTGGCGCGGTTTGCTAGAAGACGTCGGTTCGAATCCGGCCGGATCGAAGGAATTTTTTTCTAAGTGTTCGATCTTTCTATTCTATTAATAATATACCTTCAATATGTTTGCATGCTTAATGTTTGGCCGGGCACAGTGAAACTTTTTTTTATAATATCAAGTGACGGAACCATTGACTTACAATTATATGGACGTCGGGTCTGCGCTAAAATGTGTCCGCACTTGTAAGGCGCTAAAATCGTATACAGAGCGCCAAACTCCGCTTTAGTCTTCATTTGTTCGACTGACAGCGCGATACTGCGATGACATTACAATTTAAATTTCGAATAGGTTGACTTGGGACATTTTTTTCGTGGTTTTTGTATTAGACCCGTCGTCCATTTATTTGTAAGTCAATGGACGGAACGAACAAATCGTGCGTCTGATGTTAAGCTACACGCCTGTCCATAACAGTTGCAGTCCACTCAGCTTTAAATCGCAAAGTCTGAGGGGCACTCCCACTGCGCTTGTCACCCTGAGACATAAGTTGACAAGTACTTCAAAACCGGAACGCAGTAATTCTCAACATTACTTCTTGGCGGCAGAAATAGGTAAAGTGGCAGTACTTCCCTGGACGAACTCTTTCACGAGGAGCTCCACTGCTACAAAAAACTATACTTGTTTTGTTACACGTCAACGTCTATACAATCTGTGTTTTCACTGAATAGTTTCAAATGAATTAAGTCGCAGATTCCTCTTATTTACGACCATTCTATGACTTTTTTCCTGGGTTCCACAGCACCAGCGAAGAGCTCCAAGCAACTTTAGCCGAATTAGCCGATCTGCAAACGCAACTAGCTGATGCGCATGCCGACAATGAGCGACTGGCCGACGAGAAGCAAGTACTGCTGGAGTCCCTATGTCGGCAGACCGAGAAACTGGAGGACAGTCGAACTAAGGTAAGGCTTGTGAACGTATATTTTCTGTACATCGAGTATGTAACCAGAAATAGAGACGAAATGTCATTTAATTTGTTTGAAAACTATTCTGCCAAATCATTACTGTGACAACTTTGCTCCGATTGGCCAGCCGGAATTCGCCGTCAATTGTTTCACTTCAAATTGACCAGTTTAACTTGAGCTTTGCTGTAATGAACGATAATTGCAAAATTACATATTTAATATTTAATTAACCATGAAATGTGATTCCGCTTGTTTTGTAATTAGATGTTTTGGAGTTTTTCCCACACCTCCGAATGGAATAGCCCCCATTGTTAGAGATGTTATCTTTATTACAATAAATATAGAATATTTTTGAAATGTACGGAGACGCACACAGAGGTATATGTATTAACACAAAGATCGAACACTCACAAAATATTATCCGGCCGGATTTGAGCCGACGTCTTCTAGCATACTGTGCCAGACGCTATACCAACTAAGCCACGGAACGAACCAGCGGACCTCACGAATTTCTCTATGTTTTTGTTGTCGTGTCTTTATATTTGGTTTTTCAACAACTTTTTGTATTAATAATTATAACAAACTAGTGGAGGAGTAATTTCACATAGAAATTAATTGAATATCAATTCTATTAAAATTTAAACTTTTTTTAATTGATTCTATATGTGTGTTCTGGAGTCAGTTATTTGTGTTCTGGCCTTAAAATGTTTTTTTTATACTCTGGTTGGAGGATCACGAGCACGTCCAACTTCATCGTTGAGATAAATGCAACGTTATGTTGCTTGCGATAAGACCGGCCTGAAGCCGAGCTTGATGCATGGTGTGCTTCGTGACTGTGCTGGGAATCCCCTAGGTTCAGAACATGTAAATTAATCACCTTCTTTTTTTCTCAGGTGGATACTCTTCAAGAGCTGTTGCTTCGCGAGGGCATCGAACCGGAGACGTTGGTATCAGGAGACCCCGACCAACAGCTTTTCGCTGTCCTAAAGGTGTGTTTGACAAAAAAATTTATGAACTGAATATTTCATATAACAAATTCGCCTTACCTTATACATGTTCAACGGTGGAGTAACTTATATGTTAGAATAATTAGAGAACTATTTTGTGACTTGAAGCTATCTCAAGAGGAAAGGCGGCTTATGCTGTCGAAGCAAGAGCAGTTGGAGTCAGATCTGACCGGCACCAAGGCCGCGCTCGAGGAGAAAACCAAAGAAAATGATTCATTGAATGAGAGAATTAGGTAAGTTAACCTTTCTTACTGTATATCTTTATTCTGTTTTCACACAAATAACTGCCTCCGTGGCCGAATGGTTACCATGCCGGACTGCCACGCAGAGGTCCCAGATTCGATGCGTGGGCCGGGAGAAATATTTGTATGACCTACATTTATTTCTCTCGTGAGTTTGGGTGTTGTAATTTGTGGTTGTCTATGCGACACAGGGTTTCCCTAGTGCGGGGCTATGTTGAGGTGTGCGTTATTATTATTATTATTCTTCTCGTTACAACCATAGTCGTGTAATGAGAAGAAAAAAACAACAAGTCCGTGGAATTACATCTATTTGCGAAGTTTTATTGAAATCGGTTACCTCAAGTGCGCGAAAACGGATACATCCCCTAGTTTGCCACCATAGAGGTGGAATATTTTTGCCAAATTTAAATGGGACCACTTCTGAGGTACACTTTTTCCAACAAAAAGAGAATCATCCAAATCGGTTAAGTCAGTTGCATTTTTAAATCGGTTAAGTCGGTTAAAAAGACTTGAGGGTTTTATATTTTATAACATTATTTGGGGCATTATAGTTAAGTTAGCGTGCACGCAATCGTACTATTTACGTGCAAGTGTGATGAAAACGTAATTTTTCGTATTTGCGTTTTGAACAAAGCCTCCTTTCACAGATCCCTAGAAAGTTCTCTGGAGAGAACAGAAGCAGAGCGCCTGCGCTGGGAGCACGAGGCCGATGATGCGCGGGAGATGGCGGCGGCGCGGCAGCACCAGATCTCCACGCTCAGCGATCTGCTGGACACAGCCAAGGCCAAAGTCAGTGTCGAGCCAATTTTACATTCCTTTATTGAACATTAAAAGAACGTTTTTAAAAACTACAAGAAAAATTAATAAATAAATGATATTAATTAATTCCTGGACAAAACCTTTTAGCAAAAAGGTAAATTCGATAACAGCCTACTTACTGTCTTGCGTTTTACTTTGTTGTGCCGGAGAGGGTCCATGATGTGATTTTTCTACTAAGTATACCACACTACATCTTGTATACAATTGTGAAATGCAAATAAATACATTGAATATTGAATAAACATTAGCTATGGAGTCATTAGCTAGAAAAGGTAACAAATAATGGAGAAACTCACGCAAAATTAATAACTAAAAAAAAGTACTAAAATCCTACAATAAAAAGTACTCACCATTTTTTTTGTGCCATGTCAAAACATGCATGTCTGTTTATTTTGAAGACGGAGTATCATGACGTTTACAGAGTTAACAGTTTTAGTAAAATTTAAAATAGTTATGTAGTTGTGGTCGAAAGTTTTATCGATGAATTGTGAAAGAAGACAAAGTTTTGCAAGAGTTGTGTGAATAGTGAACGTTATGACGTTCTAATGATTAATATTTGCATTTCTTTTTTTTTATTTTAACAGTTGGTATATTAGCATTGAAATTAATATGTTAAGTCTATACTTCACATATTAATTTCAATA